CTCTAAGGTGAGCATTATCAATAAAATGCAGTTTTCTTCTTGCCAAAAAAATGATTACAGCTAATATCTCAATATAATGATAGGGTTTTTTCTGCCTTAGATTATCATTATTTCACTCAGAGTACATCTTGCACCGCCTCCGATATTATCAGGAAATATATCACCCTGTTTTCTGGTCAATTATTAAAAATGTGGCATGTTTTAAAAAGTATTTTTCCATGATATGACAATGAAGAAAACACTGTCATACCTGTATGGATTTATACTGTATGTATGTTGATAGAAACAGAGGATATAGAAACAGTTATCTTCAGAATCAGAATCTCAGAATCAGAATCTGCTTTATTGGCCAGGTGTGACGGACACACGAGGAATTTGACTCAGGCACATCGGCTCTCAATGTGCAAACAGTAAACCAGCATAAAGCTGTTTAACAAAAATAAGCAGTATTTACAAGCAACAGAAAGTGCAAACAATGCAGAATAAGCAGTATGAACAGACAGTAACAATGCAGACAACAAAGGAATGTTCTTTGTAATGAGATAAGTAGGGATAAAAATAGAGTAATTAAAACAGAGTACTAGAGACCTGTATGAGTCTGTATAATCTGTACAATGTATATATTTACAGGTATTGCACTGAGGGTTATTGTCCAATCATATGGTCATTGGTTGTCATACTGTTGGCTATGACGTGGAGGTCTGTGCAGCCCTCCAGATATGCCTTCCCACCATCACTGACCCACCACCAAACCGGTAATGGTCAATGATGTTACAGGAAGCATAACATTCACCACGGTGTCTCCAGACTTTTTCACACCTGTCACACGTGCTCAGTCTGAACCTGTTCTCATCTGTGAAGATAACGGAGCACTGGTGATGAATCTGCCAATTCTGGTGTTCTCTGGAGAATGCCAATCGAGGTGCACAATGCTGGGCTGTTAGCACAGGTCATACTAAAGGACTTTGAGCCCTCATGCCACCCTCATGGAGTCTGTTTCTGACAGTTGGGTCAGAAACATGCACACCAGTATCTGCTGGAGGTCATTCTGTAGTGCTCTCACTGTGCTCCTCCTGTTCCTCCTTGCACAAAGGAGCAGATACTGGTCCTGCTGCTGGGTCATTGCTCTTCTACGACCCAGTCCCGCTCTCCTGGAGTAACAGCCAGTCTCCTGTTATCTCCTCCATGTTTTTGAGACTGTGCTGGGAGACACAACAAACCTTGTTGCAACTGCATGTATGGATGTGCCATCTTGGACTAACTGGACTACCTGCACAACCTGACTGGGCTGCAGGTACTGCTTCATGCTACCAGTAGTGACAAAGACACTAGCAAAACACAAAACTTGAGAATAATAATTCCGGAAGGATAAGGAGAAACATTTATTTGTGCAGAACAGTTCCCTTTTTGGAGGGTTGTCTTGCTTTTGCCTCTCCATTGCATCTGTTGTCACTTTCATTTGCACCAAAGCAAGTGAAACTGATTCACAATCACTCGTGTTTGCTAAATGGACAGATTGATATCCCTGAAGTTTAACTGACTTGGTGCTATACTGTGATGCTCAAGTGTTGCCTTAATTTTTTTGAGCAGTGCATAATAGGCTATAGCCCATGGAACATAAACAAAATACAGTACATGATTAGATATTATGCTTCTGAAAATGGCTGGGTAATGGCATATACTTGCATTTAAGCAATTGCTTTATTCATCACTAAGTAAAACAGCTGAAAAAAATTGTCAACTGTCACAGGCAAACCTTGTATCACCACCCAAGTATAGCCTATGTGAGACCCACATCCAGCAGTTACAACTGAAGAATGTTTTTAAACTGCCACAGCTTCATTTGGCTAGAATTACAATTTGTCCATTTGAATTTCCTCAAAAGCTCAAGTTTTACAAAGATGTACTTTTGTACTGTTGTGGCTGTTTTTGCATTTTATTACTGTTTGATCCTGACAAAAGCAGTTGTATGTGTAGATGAACTCAGAGATGCATTTTTAACAGGCTGAGTGCACACTGCAATCAGTTTTATGGCAGGCAATCTCTTTTTGGTACATCACTGGCACAGACGAAAATAAGGCTGATGAGGGCACAGTGTCCCGAGTGAAGGACAGGGCTCGGTATTAGGCTTGACAACTACCCACCCTACTACTGCATAGGAGACAGGGTGTCAATTCTGTAAAAGTAACATCTGAATTAATCACCAAACATGCGTTGTAAACTAAAGTACTGTATACTGTACATACTGTAATGCTCTTTATAAAGCAGGCATTGTGCAACTTTTCTTACATGAAATAAATAAGATGCTTATAGCTACAGCAGTGCATCTGTGTGTCAGGCAGCAATTATACCTTTTGGACTCTGTTGCATTATGTTGAATTCAGGTTGAGTCTAAAATTTGCTGTAAAATTGTGACAGCTGTGCATAGATTCTACAGTCTGTAGAATCTAAAATTGAAAAATATTTCCATTGCATAACCTTCTTCAGTTAAAAGATTGTTTTTTACATTCTGTTTTGTGACAGTCCAGGTTTTTTGTGTTTGCTCTCTTTAGAAGGCTTTTTTGAACAACCTTGTCATCTCATGTGCGGCGCTGTGGGCAGTAAAGTGACATCAAATGTTCTAATTGTGTTTGTGCTAGTGCTATATGAAGCCAGACCCTGGCCTCCTTTGTCCTGTCTGTAGGCCATTTGGCTGCAGCAATGCACTTGGGAAGCCAGATAACAGGTGAATGGCCATGGTCTAATAGGCCATCTGTGGAAAAACATTGTAGTCAATTAAGAGTCCACTTCCTCCAGTTGTGATGGCCATTAGACAGCCTCACCACCACAAGTGACTCTTCAGTGGCTTTTACTCTCCAGCTACCTGCTGCCTGTCATTCCTGGTGTCCTCGAGCCGCCCAGTCCCTGAAAGACTGACTTTTTGTCAAGTGTTGTTGTCCAGTATGTTTTTCTAGATTTTATTGAAATGCAGTTTTCCACTCAAGGATTCTATGTGACCCTGATGGTCAGATAAAACCCCCTTCACTCCTTTTCTTCTCTTGTCCTCATATTTTCTAACTCCCCCACTACATCACACAAAAGAAGCATAGCAAGAGGACATCATTTAGAAGCATTAATGTATACACAACACACTACACTCACCGGCCCCTTTATGAGGTACGCTTGTACAATTTTATGTCCTTCAGTGCAACACTTCCACCTTAACATTTGTGTTTATGAAGCTCAAAATGTTTGGTTTTGGTGAAATTGTCATGAATATATAAATTACATTATATCTTTATTATTGAAGTCGTAGTTATAGATGATGTTGTACTGAACTACATTGTATTCAGAGGTGTTCCTAATATTCTGATCTTTTCATGTATGTACAGTAGCTGGGGAGGACAAAAATATAGAGACACCTGTGGATATAATGTAGTCCATTACACCACCTTTAAGTATGACCTCAATAATAAACATATAATTGAATTTATACATTTATGACTATTTCACCAAAAACTGAAACATTTTGAGCTTCATAAACACAGATGTTAAAGACGTGTTGCATTGAATTGCATACAGCTGTACAGGTGAACATAATACAGTGGACGGTGATTGTATGTGTAAAGTTCATTACATTTGATTGTTGCTGTTTTTCCTTATCTAGTACTTCACACATACTACATAAACACACACATACATTAACAGGTAGCTGGTTTGCTTGCATTTGATACTGTCCCTTATTTTGGACTTATTTCAGACTCACACAGCAGCCGAGACCGACAACATGCCCTGAGTTTATCAAATCTGACGTCAAACGTGTCGCTGTAGCCTGGAGCTTCCAGTGGCCTTCAGTCCTGGTGGTGGCTTCTCTGTGAGTACAATACTAGACTGATGTAGGAATGGCTTTGTGGCTGAGTGTCCTTTCATCTGCTGGTTAGTATTTTTTTAACACATACCAATGTCAGCTGATGGAGATGAGGGAAAGGAAGCATTTTATTAATGTGATGAAAGTTTATTTACTTAATTGCCTTTTGTTTTGTTTATTCAAAAGGAATTGAATCACCCCCCTTATGTTTGCAGAACACGTTACAAAACTAGGTTATCTTGTTGAACAGGAAGGACGAGACCTAGGCGATAATCACTCAGCAGTACAATATATTATTTTCATTTGCTTCAGTGAAATAGTTGTAAGTGTTGTTCTTCAAAGGGCAGGATATCTCATCTTCACATTCGGTGGAAGACGTGATGCTTATTGTTATGGCAAAGCCTTAGATGTAATCCCAGTTGTAATATGGAAGACAGATGTAGGAAAACAGCACCATGTGATAGAAGGCTTATTTCCTTCTTCTTGTGACTGCACCCTTTATTCACACCGTTTCATGTTTTACTCGGTCAGCAGTACAGCAGTATACAACAGGCATTTTCTGTTTCTAAGAAAGATTTACTGCATAATTTAATTAATATAAAAAAGAGAAATAATTGCTCAAAACAACTAACCCTTAGAGTACTATAGACCCTGTTTCTAATCCTTAAGAGCTCATAGAAATTGTGATTGGAACTGTATGCTGTATGTGTTTAAATCGCTCACCAGCAGCGTTGGCACATATATTGCATTACTTTATTTAAAGTGGAAAAACCACACTGAAAAAATACTCCATTACATTTGAAGGACCTTCATTCAAAATGTTTGTCTAAATATTACTTCAGTATAGTAAAATATAGAAGTATTACAACCACTTAACGCTGCTAGGTAGTTGATTCTAGAAGAATGTCATATATTCTGTATGTAGCATCATATAATTTGAATGAAATGTTTAATCTGAAATTTAACAAATTAAATTTGGTAGGTGTCAAATGCAGTGCAGTGAGTATTTTTCCTGTACAAGAAGAAGAAAATGTAAAACTACAAAGTAGCATATATGGTGTATATACAAAAAAGACTTCTGGATTAAAAGAGCACACTGGACACAACATGATTTTCAAGAGTTTTAATAATTTACTAAAAAAGAGTGTAAAAGTAACAGATTTCTCCCACTCAAGTGGATCTGTTTGATATTCAAAGTGATGACAGATGTAACAAATTTTTGCAAACTTGCCCTTGTCTGTACATTTGTGTACACTTACTTGGCAATTTAACCTCTTGGCTGTAATTAAACGAGTTTTTGCACTGTATATTGTATATCAGAAAAGCTAACAACAAAAAATACTTTGATATGAATCACTGGAAAGTAAACCAACCAGCATGAAATATACAGCGTTAAGAAAATCCAAAAAACACAGCTGAAAAGTGTATATACAAACATGCTAGGAATCTAACAAAGAGCAGACTGAGCGAAGCTGAAGAGACAGGCTTTCTAATAGTTGACATCATTTAGGAGAGCCAATTAAATAAAGCATCATTCTTAAATATTTCATAACCTTGCAATGTTCAAATACCGTGGTCTTCTATTGCCTATTTCAAGTTTTTTAGCAGAAGAGGAACACTTTATAAATATACAGTATACTGTATCTCCTGCATCAATTAGTTTAATTTAAACTCATTAAATAAAAAGCTAAAATGTTCAGTATTTATAGAAAATAAAAGAGCTGAAATTTTCCTTGATAAATGGTCATACTGTGTCCACTTCTAAAGCGATGGTTGTCCATCCTCGTTATCATTAAGTGCCTGCTTGGAAGAGGTAATATATATTTATGTATATACATATATATCAAATTCTATGACATAATTTGTATAAATATGGCATCTTTACAATTGCATTAAAATGACAAATTTTATTTCCAATCCCAAGACAATTAACAGTCAATTGGGAAAAAGGCCTTAAGTTTCTCATTTTCTTGTTTTAAATATTAAAAATAAGTCTCAATTCTTTGCAAATGTACGTCTTACATTATAAACAACACTTCTGTCTTAACTGGTCAGATATTTCCCATTGTGTTCATATCTACAACACTTTGGAAGGCGAGGAAAAAAAAGTGCCATTTTCAATTGCTCCCCCTTAGTAAATGAGGATGCTTGCCCCTTTCAGACTAAAGGTAAAACTTTTATTATTCAAGTCCCAAGAAGCTCAATGGTTCTATACAAAAATGTAAAAACATCATTGATGTAACAAAGCCATGTGTTTGTGTTGTCATGCCATTTTGCTGGTTGTGCATTACAGAGCGACTATGTGCTCCTGCACAGATGTCTCTTTTCACAGGTGAGGATGTAATAAGAATCATACGCAGCTTCTCTGTAAATGTCATCCACAGAGGTGTGACCCATTTGAGACATCACGCCATTTTAATCAGGAGAAAAACACTGTGGTATGCCAGTAAAATGGGCATAGTCGGATCGATCCGCCCGTTTCCCCCTCAGAAAGCACCATAACTGGCAAAGCCAGTTTTGAAGGTACAAGCTGGGTTTGCACTGTCACAGTTAACCAGACTTGTTGTTCATAGCATTTCACACTTTTTCCTTTTATTCCAGGCCTGGGAGAGTCTGAGTTGCACCATCAAATCCATGTCTACGAGAAACAACAGAAGAGCTCTGGTGCTCTCTGGTGCCCAGGAGGAGGAAGTGTAGGCACAGAGAAGACAAAGGTAACCATCAGTCCCCTAGACTTTGTGCTGCAAGTCTCACACACCTAAAGCATGTTTAGGATGGCATTGTACATTTGGATCAGTACAGCCAAGTGGACGGGCAGGCAGGACTGGCGGTCTTGGGTGGCAGGGGTACACGTCAGCCAGGAGAGGGCATTGTACTGCTCCAATACAAACCTGGGATTGAAAAATGTACAATTTTATCAGGGACCAATGGTAAAAAAAAAAATTCTGATACATTTTACAAAATATTCTGACTTCTATTGTAAAGGTTTATCAGTATAATCCACCCATATTTCCTTAGCTATAATACTGTGCATTAAAATTAGTTAATGCACATTCAGTTCTCATTATTTAGTAGTTATTAGTTGTATTGTTTAAGTACTGTTAACAGCTGATCACAATTCCGTAGCAAATAGCCACACTTGAAAATATCAAATTGTATAGTTTTATAGTCAAATTTGATTTATATATTAAGACAAAAATGCTAAATGATATAAACGCACAGTACAAGGGGTTAATTCACACTACTTAATGATAATGAAACATCTGCTTATTAAGAACAGATACTTTAAATTTGAACATATCTATCTCAGCTATAGATGTTTCAGTAGAAGCCTTCAGGAGTAATGTTTTCACTCTGTTGTTGTTATACTTGCGCTCAAGTAGCCAAATTCTACAGCAGATAAAAAAAAAAAATCTAAAGGGACAATATGTGTTAGATATTTACCTGAGCACATCAGAGGTGGTCTTTGAGTCTAAGGGGTGAGGGGTCCTCTTAGTCTTGTCTGAAACCAGCTCATCTGACTGGGCTATGGAGATGTGGTGGTGGAGGGAAGCCTGAAATGAATAAACATAGTGCATTGTCATATTTTGAATCAGGCTTGGTTGTATAGTGAGTAGCTATAGACTTTATTATGTTCACCTGTACAGCTGTGCAATTCATTGCAACACTTCCATCTTAACATCTGTGTTTATGAAGCTCAAAATGTCAAAATGTTTCTGTTTTTGGTGAAATAGTCCTAAATGTATAAATTCAATTATATGTTTATTATTGAGGTCATAGTTAAAGGTGTATGGAAGCGCACTGCATTCACCAAAGGAAAAAATTTCAAGGATACATAATTACGAGATCCTGATCTTGTAATTATGAGAGAATGCAGGGGTTGGAACTCTGCAGAACCTCCCTGAAAATCATCAGATTTTGAAGAATTCTTTAGTAATTCAGTGACAGTTGTCAGTACATCCAACAGTGCATAGCAGAAGTGAACTATTAATAGCTAATTTGGCATACTTAGCATTCCAAAACGTAAACAAATATAGACTACAAATGGACTTCAAGGTTGCTGCCCACAGTGTAACTCATAAGGCTACATGTACTGAGCAGGAGTTGGAAAGCTTCAGAACCTGCTTGAGAAACACTGTTTTTTTTTAAAGATGTCCCCAGTATTAATGCAGTTATTTCAGTAGAATACCATATAGCAGAAATGAACTGATAATAGTTAATTTGGCGTACTTAGTGTTCTAAAATGGCTAAAAATGGGCCCAAGCTGCAGCCCACAGTAACTCACATCTATGGCAACATTGTACTTGCTTTTTCTTGTAAAAATATGATCTGTGCACATGACTGAACTTTTACCATTTAATGTGACATTTTCCAAAATACAATACAAAAATGTTTTTGAAAAATTAATATTTAAGCTCATATTCATAATCTAGATACCCTAATAGTCTATAGCATCTAGGTTACTGGAACTAGACAATGAAGTCAGGTAGCCTATAACCCCTATTAACAGCCTATTACAAGATCCTGATCTCTGAGTCTCATAATTATGACAAAGCCTTAAATATTAATAGTCATCATGTGAACTGATATAAACTTTGACAACAAACAGGAAGTCGGCTATGGGCTACATAACATTGCCATGGATACATGTGTTACAATGTGGGCACAGTTTTTAGCCTAGGCTATAGACCTATTTGTTTACATTTTGGAACACTAGGTATGCAGTTGCTACCTACCAACCTTCTGTTGGATGTGCTGTCTGAATTATGTAAATAGCCTACTGAAGAAATCTTAAAAACCCAAGTAGGTTCTGAAGCTTTCCAACTCCAGCTCAGTACGGTATAGGCCTATAGTGAGTTACAGTACACTATAGGCAGCAACTTTGAGGCCCGTCTATATTTGCTTACGTTTTGGAACACTAAGTATATTGAATTAGTTATTAACAATTCACTTTTGCTGTGCGCTATTGGATGTACTGACAACTATCACTGAATTACTGATACTAAAGAACTGGTTAAAATTTCTTGACTTTCAGGTAAGTTCTGCAGTGTTCCAAGCCCAACATTATCTCATAATTGCAAGATCAGGATCTCATAATTATGACATCTTTTCTCATAATTATGAGATAATAAGTCCTAATTACGAGATAAGATCCTCCAATTTCATTTATTTATTTAATTGATGAATGCAATGTGCTTCCATAAAGGTGGTGGTGTACTGGACTACGTTATATTTAGAGGTGTTCCTAATATTCTGACCTTCTCATGCATGTCAGATGGGGAGGACAAAAATATATAGACACCTTTGAATATAATGTAGTCCAGTACAACACCACCTTTAACTATGACCTCAATAATAAATGTATAATTGAATTTAAACATTAGGACAACTTCACAAAAACAAACATTTTGAGCTTCATAAACACAGATTTTAAAGAAGTGTTACATTGGACGGCATCCAGTTGTACAGGTGTACCTAATAAATTGGCCGGTGAGTGTATACCTCTTTAATGTCTGATGACATAACTACAGCATTTCTGCATGAATTCTTGATCTAATAAGTGTTTCAGTGTCTCTTTTGATCTGTTTCTCTCTCTCTCTCAAATCAAACACAGTGTTTTCAGTACCTTGAGGAAAAGTGGACACTGGCTCTCAGCCTGCGGGCAGGAGGCCCAGAACCAGTGAGGAAGTCCGTTTGCTTGTGCAGTGGAGACATAGTAGCCCAGAGCCAGTGGCTGCTGCTTCAGCTCTTCTGGTGGATTGTCTCTGGATAGTAAGCGCTCTCCCTGGCTCTATACACACACACACACACACACACACACAGGAGAAGGTCAGAAATGAATTACAACATCCATTTTGATCCTAGCATATAATCTGTTCATTCACCTGTATGCTATATGTCTGAGTATTTGTACTGGTGACTGTAGGTTGTCTTTACTAAAAATATCTGAACATGTTCCTGGTAATGCATGAAATCATGCAAAGCATTCTGACCAACCTAGTTAGAGAAGTGAAAACTGCATATTTATATCATTTTGAAATAGATATCTGGCAGATGTACTGTCCTGCAATTGCCACACTAGTTTTGCCTGTTATTAATTATCCTTACTTTGTGCTGTGCTTAGGTTAAGAATTACTTTGAGAGGTCAGATGTTTCTAGGTTACAGTATGCAGTCCTTGAAGATCAACAGAAATCTAGTGTTCTCTATAGTACATTATTATAGTTTTAAGGTTCATTCATATCCAGCAGCCCCACTTGATGAGAATAATATTAGTATCAAGCATCAGCCATCTGTCTTTTTATGCAATAAGCTGTTTTATCTGTTGAGTCAAAATGTTCCTGCTACAAGGTTTTTGCAACCCCCCCAAAAAAAACTCATACAGCACAAGGTGCTAACATAAGTAAAGTTAACCTGTAGGTGTGTTGATGCTGTACTACTCTGCCTCAGTTTGTCAGGATTGTATGAAACATGGTGTAATATAGGTTGTTTCTGTGCATCCATTATATTATTATCAGTATCGTTGAGACATTTTGCTTAAATTGGCTGTGCAGCCGCAAAAAGATCCTAGTGGAGGTGTTGTATTCACACCCTGTATCTCTTGTCTTTGCAGCATCAGAGCGGTAGGCAGCCTTTTTTCATTCTGCAAACAATCAAGTAATTGTTGCGTAATAATGTGTAAGTGCAGCAACATGCTTTCTTGATGCCATTGTTTTCCTTTGTTATACAGTACAGTGCCATTTGCTGCAGGTCAAACCACTCTACACTGATTCATTTCCCCTGAGCCCTGACGTACCCTGGTGTGCTGGAAATGTGATCCCATTCCCATTCCGGATGGAGAACCAGGTGAGGGCACAGGAGAGGTGTTGGGGGAAGGGTGGAGGTTCCCTGTGATCAGCATCATGTCATGGCCAATGTCATTCTCCAGTTCATCAGGAAAGGGAAGATCAAACATGTCATCTGTGGAGTGCAACAGAGTTTAGTCCACATCGGGCACCTTTTTTTTCTTTTTTTGCACAAGCCATCTGTGACTGATGCTAGGAAAGATTTTAGCAAAAATGATGCCTCCTGTTGGCACAAAATAATATACCTAAACCATTATTTAAAAAGGGTTTCAGGCAATCACATAACTATAGTATGACTGTTATCCTGCTAGCCGTTACCGTTATTGTCCTCTGTAGGGTAGGAGCTGGGTGCCAGCTGGGTGGTGGCAGAGGTTGGGAAGACTAGGATGTGTGTACAGGAAGCATCCTGAGGTGTGTTCAGCTGTGAGGTCTGCAGGTTCAAAGCAGTACTGCGGCCAAACACTGAGCCCATGGTCACTGCATCTAGACACACACATACAGAAACACAGCAAAGGTGAGGTGTCTGTTTATACTGCTTATTTATACTTCTATTAATCACCATTTTGTCAGCGTGAAAATATACTGATTCTAGTGTACTGCAATATCGAGTACTATTATAGCCATAACCATCATGTTTCTGCCATCCTCTAACAGTTTGACAGATGAAGTAGATGGGCTACTAACCAGGCATGATGACCAAAGAGCCCTGAGGCTCCATGGCTACCAGGCAGGCACTGAGGATGGTGGGACAGTCAGCAGCTGAGATCCCACACATACGACAAGCTTCCCGCAGCTGGCGCCCTATTGAATGGAGGGAATGCTCGCCAAGGAGCGAGCTCCAGTCTAGGTGAGAGACAGAGATATGAAAAGTATTAGTGAATGAGGCCCAAATTAATTTGATCTCGACAAAATTCTTAAGGGCAAAAAAAGATGACAATTTAAAAAATTTTCTCTAAAAGAAAGGGTCACACACTTGTTTATACCTAGGACTGTATGTACTACAAATGAATATTAGGGAACTGGCCAGGGCTTCGTCTTTGCTTAAAGCAGAAATAATTTCTTGGCGAATAAGATGCAAGAGCATGCTAAGCCTAGAAACACTTTTTCAAATTAAAGGAATCCCAATATCATAGCAGCAGTAAGGGACAAAAGGTAAACATAGAGACAGGTAACAAATTAAAGGGAAAACCAACAACATATCTCAATAAGGCCAGTTTCAGTGCTCCTTGGCACTGATTCTATAAGCCTGTGAACTCTGCTGGAGGCATGAACACCGTTCTTCCAAAAGAAACCATTCAGTGAGCCCTTGTGCCGTACAGATGGGGCTACCATTGTCATCAAAGAGACCACTCATTTATTGAGGTTTTTCCTTTAATTTCTCACCCATCTGTATGTAAAACACAAAGTCCAGATATATCCACATGAATGTTCTGGGAACTGAGTTTGCAGTGAGATCTGAGATATATCCGCGCAGATGTGGACAGTTATGGGTTTTAATTATTTATACTCCCCAAATGCATTCACTAAAGACTCATTACAGTGATTATAGACTTAAGGCCTAGTCCACATGTACAGGGGTATTGTTTAAATTGGGGGGGTTTCCTCCTCTTTAAAAAAAAAAATCTCCATCCAAATGAAAATAGAAAAACCTACTGTCAAGAGTACATCAAACCAACAGCCAGAAATATAACCTTACCCATACAGGGAAAACATGTCAACACTAAAAATTGAGTTCCTGAATATCGATATATTGAATATAGAGTTTTTCAAAAGGGCCGTTTTCAGTGGTCAAGAGGCCAAAACACATAAAAAAGGTTACATTTTAAAAAAAATTACCCTTCTACATCTGGACAAGGCCTAAATACTTCATCCACTTTAGAATGAAAGAAATATGAATGTTATTCACCTTTTAGTTCCCCGTGCCCCAGTCTTCCTAATCGACCAATCACAATCCTCCATGGCAGTGAGGTCATCTGGATGATGCCAATACACCACTCCCACAGCTTCTGGAGTCCCATCTTCCTGGCTGAAACCTTGGGACGTCGTGATCTGAAGTAAAAATAAATACATTTGTAAAGTGATCAGAGCATTATGTTTTGTTGAGAAAATAAAGTAGAAAAATTGGGATAACTCTAGATGAACAACTATTTCTCACCTGTTAGGGACATCAATATTGATAATACAGGTTTCCAGGAGCTCCCCCTGCTGGTCGGTGCAGGACACAAGGATCCAGCGTTGGTCATGAGACAGGCAGTATCCTACAAAGAGCACGTTGTACTTGGGAGGGAGCTCTGCCCATATCTCTCCTTGTTCTGGCTGCTTGGGACGAGTCGGACCAAGGATGAACGGAGGAGAGTACAGCTGCAGTGGGCCAGGATGCTGGGGGAGTAAATTCAGTTTAAGAATAAAAATGTAACTTAAAGGCATAAGCAAATATATTACAATTATTTTCAATCTATATCAAAGAAAATCTGATGCAAATCAGAGTTTGCACCAGGGTTTGAAATTTCATGCTTACCTCTGAACCCTTAAGTACAGAATTGACAGTGGACACTGGTCCAAAGCCAGTCAGAGACTTGATATGTGTTTGCTGGGGTAGCAGACGTCTGCACTGGGAGTAACAGGAGAAGGCCAGGGAGCGCAGGTGCTGCAGGTACAAATGGCTCTCTCCACTGGCTGGCTGGAGAAGATACTGGCACGGTACCACCTAAGTCAGATAAAGACAAAACAGAAAATAAGATGCTGATCAAAGATGGAGGGTAAATTCTGTTTAATTCTGTCCAGTGTAACTCGAAGTGTCTTGTTACCTGTAGGACCAGTCCAAGTCTCGTCATCTCAGGCAAAGTCTGTAGCATCTCTGTATAGCAGCGAAGAAGCCCTAGCAACCAAATGCTACCTGTCTCTATCTCGTCACCCTCCTCTTCCTCACCCCCTTCATTTCTCACTCCACTTGAATTAAGAAATGCATCCACTATGTAAATAACAATAGCTGGTGGGTTGGTGTGGCTGTCTGTTGAGTCGGCCACAGTAGGGATACCGATTCTAGATTGCTCAGAAGCACTAAAAAGAGAGCAAGAGAAGAAAGATGTTATAATACTTGTTTTGGATCAAATATTTGGAAAATCCTTTGAAATGGGGCAGTCTCCTCCAACAATTTCGGTCTTACAGTTCAGGGTTTTCTGCTGGTGTGTTGGCTGGTGGTGTGGAACTAGAAGGTCCTTTAGACTCGCTGGTTCCTCCTTGGGTTGTCTCCCCTGTCTGGCCTGCTGTGGGTGTGTTGTTTACAGGGGGCTGAATTTTGGGAGGCAGCAGAAGACTGCTGTCCAGAGGTAGGACTGACAGCTGGGGACCTGAAAGAAGGAAAAATAATCAAGTCTTTCATGAATAATGAAAAGAAAAAAAATTTAATTTAGTTTAGTTTGTTTAGTTATTCTCACCTAGCTGCTGTTTGCAGGCATAAGCATAGAGTTTCAGTTTGCTGAGGTTGTCAGTGTGCTGCTGTCCAGCCCAGGGTCCAGTCATCCACTGCTCCACATCCAGCTCATCCAGCTTTTCTGGCTCCACCTCTTCACCTACATGGACAAGGCCATCCTTGGACACTTTGGCCAGAGGACGGTGCTTCCCAAGCCGGCATGTCTGGAATCAAAGTCATAACTACTATTCATTATCTCATAATAAACACTTATCAGGTTAAATATCCACCATCTTGATTAAATTTAAGTGTTGAAATTCTACCATTTGTCTGATTCTAAATTCAATCACCTACCTCGTAAACAGCGCTGAGCTCCTGGAAGAAAGCCCGGGCTGCAGCCAGCAAAGAGGGGCTACTGGGGCACAGCACCACATAGGCCACATCCCGCTGGCCCCCATATGGCTCCAAAAGTAACTTCTCCCAAAAAGGTAATGCCAAAGGGGACAGCGCTAAGAAGTCCCTCTCACGGTCATATCCCAGTAACAATGTAGGAATGGGCAAGGGCTCTGGTGACTCCTCCGAACCTTAGACAAATAGAAACAGTGATTTTTTTTAAGTTGACTACAGCCTAATGATGACCTCCACACTGTCACTTTAATGATTTGGAATACATGCAACATGTAGTGAACAAAGACAAAATATATGTTTTGCATATAACAAAGAATGTATTGACTCACCATAGGAGCCTCTCCCAGCCATTTTATGGAACTGCTGCCAGGTGAGTGGACCCTGAACATGCTGGATGTTCTCCCAGGTCCGTCCTGTTCTCTTCTTCTGGATGGCATCCTGCAGAAAAGGCTGCAGAGACAGCAGCATGCGAACCATATCCTGGGACGACAACATGCTCATGTCCACCACTGTGGAGATGCATCAAAACCATACATGAATAGATGCAAACATGTTAAGAAAAATCTGTACACAAAAGAAATAAACACATTAAATACATTTTTCTGATGGTACAAAGGTAGCTAGGCAGACATGGAAACAAAAATCGTTATGATCTGTGAAGTAGGACTTGATTTAATGGAATTTATCACACTGCTATGATGAATTATTTTCAAATCCATTCTTTAGCAGCCAAATTGTGTTTCTTACTGTTAGTGTTAGGCCAGGAGTGAAAAGCTGTACTTCTGACAACAGCAGGATCTACTTTTCCGCCCGTGGGGTTATCCACATACTGCAGGCCCTGTTCCAAGGCATTGTAACACTCCACACAGGCATCACTCCCGTCTGCCCACTGTTTTTCAGACATCCAGCTTTGGAGCAGTGCCCCTTTGCGGCCATGACAAGAACAGCTGTGGGGGTGATGCAGTGATGCCAGGGAAGAAATGGGCTGGGAGCACTGTTCCCGCAAGAGGATCATGACTGATGGAGAGGCGGGGGCTGCGTCCTGTGGTCGTTTGGCCTTTGGGTCTCCCATAGTTGGGTCCCGCCTGCAAAGAGCCAACCTCCTCTCAGCTGCCCGGCCTACCTCAGAAGTCCGACCAAAAATATCCAGCTCATCCTCCAGGAAGAGGCCGGTGCCATGGGCCAGCCGCCTGTTCACAATGGCACTGAAGCCACACATACAGCGGTATTGATCTTCACATGTAGAATCAGGGATATAAACCCCCACATCTGCACCTTTGACATTCATATTACAGGCACAGATACAGCAGCTGTCAAAATTGCGATCTTTGAAGACATTGAGGACGGAGTCTGAGAGCAGAAGGACGGCATACAGGCTGTGGGCCTCAGGCAGAGAAGGTCCTGGCCGAGCTAAGGGCTCTACAGAGCTAAGAGGCAGGCTGGTGGAAGGTGTGGAGACTGGAGAGCTGAGCTCAGTGCCATCTTGCTTCACTGAACCCTGGCCAGAGCTTGCAGCGTTAATACCTCGTGGTGTACGAGGGGTTCGTGGAGTGGGCACAGAGAAGCGGGGAGTGGCAGGAGATGGGAGGATGCCGACAGTGGTGCTCACAGAGGCAGTGGTGGCACTCATCTGGCCATACTCCTGGTCTGTGAGGGTGTTGACACTGGGGACATTTCTGGAAAACACACGTTGAAGAAAGCAAAAACAAACAAGATTATTCCGATTGTCTGGGAATTAACTCTTAAAGGTGCTGCTCATTACACTAAATCCCTCTGAACCAATGACAAAAAAAAAAATCATATTTAACCCTTCAGAATCCACAGACTCCTACACATTTTAAAAAAGCTTTAATAAAAGCCACAAAAATAACAGCATAATAAAAAATTTCATGAACATTAAAGGTGTCACAGCTGACTACTTACATGTATCCGTCCCTGATGAAAGTGGTATTCTGAGGATGCAAGACCGCAGAGAAATGCTCCATTTTGGGTAGGACGGCCCAAGATGGACGATAGTAACACTGCTCAGGAATCTTGAGTGGGGGCACACTCTGGCTGGGTAGGCAGGATAGTGGAGCAAACATGGGGGAGCCTATCTGTGGCTGGGTTGAGAGGAAAAAATGTTTTGTCATTTAGTAAACAGAGAAATATTTCAAGGGACTGAATAATAATATCAGGAGGAACCCGAACTCTGTGAGGTGGAAAATATATATACAGTATATGTGTAGTGGCAACTAACTGAATTCTACTATAATTAGCATTTTTCACCTCACAGAGCCTGCAGTCAGTACAGAATTCTGACTCACAACACAGAGATGAGTAGTTAGTAAAGCTACAGCCACTCATGAGATAATTCCAACATGATATGTGAGCCTGATAGTTGACAAGTATATGCACCGGCTTCACCTTGATGGCAGGATTTTAAGTGATTTGTCAAATGTGTACATAGTTGTAATTAACCAGTCCAAGTTATCCTATTCTCATAGATAATTTTCTCTGTTCCTGTTTTAACACATGATGCACAAAGCTAAATATGCTGCTGTATGTCCTCTTGGTCGGGGACTGACTCCGTCTCCTCACCTTGAAATCCTCCTGCCTGGGACTGGCCATGCCATCCTCCATTTCCATCCTGTACTCAGTAAGCTGGGTGGAGGTTAAAGGCGGCAAGTGGTCAGCTGCTCCGCTGGGGGCAGGGGGCTCTTGGCTTGGGGTGTCACGATACGTTGTGATGGGAGAGAAGGCTGGATGCTGCTCTAGAGAAGGTGGCGTGGGAAACATCCGCTGAAGGTCTGCTACTGCTGAAAGGAGACAGAGATTGAGAAAGAGAAGAAGAGAGGAGGGGGAGAGAGAAAGAAATGTAGTTTACAGATGTGTAACGGGATTAACAAATTATCACTGCATTGCCCAAACACTATTGGTACACATAAAGTACTATATAAATGCAAACGCTATACATACAAACTGTAGTCAGATGCCACAGAAATAATACTCAAAGTGTCTCACTTGATGGATAAGGTACTGCAACCCTCCCTTCTTTCCCCAGAGGGCGATCTTCTGTCGACACCTGTAGCTTTGTTGAGTGCTGGTTGGGGTAAACAGTCTACAAATTATTACACATAAGATTAGAGGACCGGTTTCAGAATACTGACTCATAAAACATACAGCATAATGGGAAAATTATGTTAAAACCTAATATTAGTGCCTGTGTTTCCACCAAATCTTTTAACTGGAAAAATTATACTTTTCTCATGTGAATTACAGCATGTTTGCTAGAAAGGCAACTGTAGAAGAGTCAGAGTTTACATAAATATATTTAAGAATATAGTACATAAACTGTGATGTCTCACCCCCAAGTCTTCCTCGTCTTCATCAAATATGTTGTCTAGGTCAGAGATGTTTACCACTAGATCTTTTTCTCTGGTCAGAGAAGGATTGGCTTTGGCAGATCCATCATCCTGACTGGATTCATCTAAAACAGCACACAAACGACTTCAGACCAGATCCCGAAAGATAATTGTGAGACGTAGCACTGGGAAATATTGATTTCATTAAATCTACTGTCAGTGTATATGATATTGGTGATAGTAGCTCTGCCCCACCTGATTTTGGAGCCGAGTTAAAAATGGACATGGCATCTTTCCCATCAGGCAGTGCGCCATTACTGGTGATTTCTTCTCCCTGGTGAGTGAATTTAAAAAAAAAGTTTTCAGTTCAATTCCAGTTTAATATATATATATAAAAAAAAGATGCGTCACTTGCTGCACCTCCTGCAGCAGCACATCCACTGTGTGGTGCAAAATTGCACCCACAATGCTCCTCAAGTGTCACTTTTGGTGCCATAGAACGAATTTCATGCCATAAAAAGTTTAATATATATATAAAAAAAAAAGATGCGTCACTTGCTGCACCTCCTGCAGCAGCACATCCACTGTGTGGTGCAAAATTGCACCCACAATGCTCCTCAAGTGTCACTTTTGGTGCCATAGAACGAATTTCATGCCATAAAATGAAGTTTAATTTGCAATTTCATGCCACAAAGTGTACTTGCTTGACATATGGGTTATACACTGTGTTCACATTAGCCGATATACTGAAGTGGCCCAAATCCGATTCTTTGACTTATGTGTTGTCATACCTTTGCCTTCTTGCTGGGTTCTCGCCCTTGGCCCTTTAACCTCTTGGAAGTGGAGAACGTGTACTCAATGTCTCCTTCCTTAAAATCATAGGGATCATCCCCAGGCTCCCGAAGTGTCTCCACACCTGACTGCTGGAACAGGCCTAAACTGCGGATGTGGTCCCTCTGCCTGTCCTCGGAGATTTTAAATCTCGTGTGAGTCTGTGTGTATAATCTGGTGGATTCAAAGAGACAAATGAAATCTTTAATGTGTTACAGTATTAGTTCATTCTGTCAGTCTTGCTGGGTTTATGTCTAGCATGATTATGGCTGAAATAGCAGTGCACTCTCCAGTATTTCCAGTCTTAGAATCTCAGTCTGTATTGTTAGCCATCCTCCTCTCCCTTCTTCTCCATTCTGCAAAACACTGCTGTAGTGTCTCTCTCTTACCTTTTCAGTGGAGCTCCCTCAGTGGTTGCCTCTGTCTTCACTTCTTCTAATTTATCAGTGGGGAGTTCAAGAGGTCTGAAGTCAGACTTATCAGTCCTGGGAGTCCTGAAGCCTCTCCACCAGCCAGCGCCATTCTCCCTCTGCCTCAGCAGAGCTGCATACACAGCTGTCTCACTGGTAATCACCGCCAAACCTGAAGTCCCGTCTGGACAGACACTCATATCCACAGGCCCATCCAGACCCTCTGGGTCTTGCACCCGGGGATGCGGGCTGAGAGTGGGTGGGAGTGGAGACATTGGTGAATGGAGAAGGGACTCAGGGGCTTTCCTGCTATTGGAGAGGGGTTTGGGATATTTGCAGCTTGGCAGAGTGGCCAGAGGCTCCAAAGGTGGCTCTAGCACTACAAGACCCCCAAGCTGAGGCCCTCCTGGTGATTCCTGTTCCAGAGGGGTCTCCTGTGTGACAGACAGTCGATGATGGAAGGGGATCATGGCCGGCTTCTTGGACTGTTTGTCAGCCTTTTCTGTCTTGTCACTGGTTTTGTGTTTGGGCAGGGAAGGTGGGTATAATGATGAACCAGAGGACTGAACTGGGTTGGCACTAGACTGGGGGTTGGCAGTGGATGTGATGGCCAGATTCAGCTTCTGTTGCTTCAACCTGTAACAATGTAAAACAAAAAGAGCTTTAGAAAACCTATAACCTGAGATAAAAAAAAACACCATAAAGAATTTGTTGTAATACTGTATTTGTAACACTTATTATCTAATTAAATTATTAGAGTTGTTGCTTTAATATTACAATAATGAGAGCCCTTGAGTTGTCTAATCCCCGCACAATTTTTTAAAAACTTTTCTAAAGTTCAAAACCTAGAAGGCTGTGTTTATATATCTTATCCTAAGTTAGTCAGCAAAAATGTTTCAGACAGCTGTAATGCACTCTTTTTAAAATAAAGATTTTGATAAGTGAGACAGCAGTGCATCTTTTCTGCAGATCTAAAACTTGAGCAACATGCTCATACATGTTGTCAGAGATTAAAACAAACAATTACATAGCTATCACAAATATAAATAATTTTAACATTTAGATTTTTAAGACTGTGTAACGTGTTGATTTAAGTTTCAAAATTCCCTGAACAAAGTCTTAATTAGAGCATCCAGTTTGCAAAAAGCTTTTAATTAGAGTATGTCTTTGCAGCTGCTGCTCTGTGGTACCTGGAGCAGCTGCAGGATGCTCTCGCTCCCCGATCGTTGAAGTCCCACGTGGTAACTCCATTTGGCACTTCCTTCTTAGGCGTCACATCAGCTGGCTGATTCAGTCTATATGGAATAAAATGATCGGTGAGGGCACCAGCTCAGCCGTCCCACTGCACTTCAGTAATAGTCATGTGAAACAGAGTCAACAAACTGTGCAATAGTTAAACTTACATGTGCTGTGGCTGGTTGAGATAGCACTCTCTCCAAGCCTGATGGACCACCTGACAGGTTAGCTTCTTCTCAGAATGCTTTGGACTGATGCTAGTGACCCCCATGCTACTATCTGGTGTAGGAACACTGGAGACGGAGGTCACAAAGCCACTGTCCGCTGAAAAGAAAAAGGGTGGGACAGATGTTGTAATACAGGACTGATATATATTTCTATTTTCATTAGCAAATAGGAACTTTTATCAGCAATTATTAGTCAGAATACCTTGCTGAAAATGGCACTGATAAATTATCTATTTGAATCCATGGAGGTTTTGATATGTCATCACATTTGTACAATATAATCTGGCATCTAATGCCCTATGAGTGTGTTTTTTTGTTTTTGTTTTACCTGAGCAGGGCTGCTCCGGTGACGTTGGCGGTGTGAGTGGCCCGCTGCAGTGATTTGCTTCCCTGTTGAGGCTCTGAGCTGCAGGAACAGATGGAGACTGCTCCACTGGTAGGTCTCCTTGGGCAATCAGCACAAAAGCAGCTGGGTAGGTCATCCTTACTCCACCTAGAAAAATGAAAAAAGGACATTATTCACTGTTATGAAGTGACAAGGTGGCCACTGCTTATTTTTTAACTGCAAGGCTTGTTTTATTACACAACACCCACATAAGAATTGCTATGCCAAAAATGTCTTAACCCTCTCCAATTTACCAGTGTTCTAAACATTCCTGATAATTGGTCACAAGTACACTAGCTATATATACATATAGAATATGCAATGCACTTGCTCCTTATCCATTATCCAGCCTAAGTCTAAGACTCAACAGGCTTTCCTCTTTAGATGTAAATGCCACTGGTATCCATAGGAGTTTTGATTATAATCAGGTCAAACTAACGCTATGGCATCAGGCTGATTAGACAAAGCTGTTGGGGTAACTCCCTGGGGTGTTCATCTCGTTGTCCTTATCTTTTCTCTCCACCTTTCCTCGCTTCTCCTCATTTCCTCTTTGCCGCTCTGACATGTGCAAAAAGACTGAGGATCATTGTGGCCAAGGTACATTTCAATAGCACCCCAGCCATTAATACCTCAGTTCAAACTGCCTGGGAGTCTGTGATGTTGATCACTGTTTCCTTTAGTAGAGCAACATCATTGTGGTCTAATGTGTTGTTACTGCTGTTTTTAATCCTAAAAATATCTAAAGCATTTTTTATTATGTACTGCTGTCTGATTATACAAGATACCACAACTGTTTAAATACAGGTTAGGTTAGGCTAAAATTATTTCTGTAAAGGAGATAAATGTTCCACCATCCACACAGTTGTAATGTTCAGTTATATCCATACCTACAATGATCTCCACTGCCACATGACAGTTTTGATCATAGGCCTGGCTTGCTTCTTCTTTTTCCTTCTCTCCGTGTCCATCTCTCTGCTGAAGTACCATGGGATAGAAGTAACTCCACTCCTCCATCAGCTTCCGTGCTGCTGGATCACTCATCTTGTAGGCGTGACCTATTAAAGTGCCGCTCAGGCCATATGGACTCAGCATCACTGCACAGGGATAAAACAGGTTGAAAGGAGGGAAGCTACTATAAAGTATGCAGAGAACTTAAATCATTTTATTAAGTTCAGGAACTTTTCTACTGATTTTTACCTTTAGGATAGAACTAAGTACATTTTAAGTATAGTGTACCTGTACTCACTCATGTTTCGTGCTATTTTATACTTCTACTCCACGACAGTTTGAAATGAACTTCACTATATTTTTCTAACAGCTTTTGTCACTAGTTGCTTTGCAGATAAAGATTTCTTATGCAAAATATACAGTTAACTAACAGCATTTCTTTACACTATGTATTAGTAATAATAATCTGACGACATAATACATTATAGTATAACACTCCCATGGGGACATTGTTCTGCATTAAGTAGTTTCAGTTTTGACACTAACTTTTTTTTACTTATACACTTATGTAAATGAATGTCCTTCACTACTGCTAATTTGATAATTGCATTTTTAAACAATACAACATATTTGTATTATAAGTGTTCTTCAGTAATGTAACGATTCCGGTTGTTCTTTATTGCAGTGCATGCTTACTGAGCATTTTGTTTTGCTCTGTGCACATTGAAGAAAGCAGTGGGGTTGTGGTATACCTTGTACTGGTGTGATGGAGGTCTGTGCGAGGCTGATGTGGTGTTCTGTGATGTGGTATACAGGCTGGTGCTGGGCGATCTCCACGCTCGTGCACACGTTGCTCTCCCCGTGAAGGAAGAAGGAGAAGGAACATGATAGGTGTTCACTAGGACAGAGACAGATGACAGTAAATGTTTAGATCATGGGACCGCAGGTGTTCAGAAACAGTACTGGGATGTGGTGGTGGTGTACATCTTCTGTGTATGTACAGTGAGCTGATCGTAGAAATATCGTCACTCTGAGCTTGTACACAACATAAAAACATATGGCAACAGAAGTTGGTTCTGTAAATCAACACTGCTCTCCTTGTCTAATACATAAGAATTAAGCATAAAATAGCACTTAATATCAAGCAGTGGTGGAAGAAGTACTCTGATTCTTTACTTAGCTAAAAGTAGCAATGCCACAGTGTAAAGGTTCTTCAAAAAGTACTCACATCAAAATATATTTTAAATACCAATAGGAAAGGCACAGATGCATTATACTGTATATATATATTTTTTAATCATGATTGTACTGTATTTTGTTTTATTAAACTGATTTTGAAAAGTAGCTCGAGTAAAAGTACAATATTTGTCTCTGAAATGTAGTGAACTCGATGTATGAAGTAGCAGAAAATGGAAATACTCAAGTATGAATACATCAAAACTGTACTTAAGTACAATAATTAAGTAAATATACTGTTACTTTCCAACTCTGGTATAAAGTGTTGAATAAACTTAAATGCCATCTTCATTCAATATATTAAACTTTATATTCAATAAATTCATAATTCACATCTTCTAACGCTGCTTCATGACAGATGATGAGTGCTTTTCTCCAAAGAGCAATTTTGAGAAGAGAATGTTTTTCTGAAAGACTTGCTGAGCTCTACCTACATTGATCATCTTCATTATTTCCCACATAAGCTCTTTATTGCAAGTATAAATCCTCATTTGCCTATGACTGATTGTGGTGGCTACATGTGTACATATGCAACGTTCTCTTTATTGCTCAGCTCAGATGTAGCTCATCATGCATTGCTCTTTAATCATAGAGGAATAATTGCTGTGGCCATATTGCATATTTCTATACACCAGTGAGTGGGCTGGACATCATTAAGTACCAAGATGGCTGCACTGATGTATGTTTTTAATCTACAGTATAAAACCCCTTACCACCTTGGTTCATATATGTATTAGACTGACAAGAAAGTCAGCAGGTACTGTAATCTCCTTCTGATTGCCCTGCTGCCTATGCAATATCTACTTTGCCCTGAGGGAGCTGGACCTCCATCTGAGCTGTAATGGATCATCAAATTCAATAAAATGGCCAGTTCCACAGTTACTCATGGGCAGAACTAAACACAGTCACAAGGGAGCCAAATACTTTATGGTGTTAACTGCAATGGCCTCCAGATGGCGCCGAGTGCACCCAAAGAAAGAAAAGACTTCATAAACATTCCTGATGCTCCCAACAGGGAAAAAACCCCCACAACAGCAGGTGGTTTGAACACAGGACTGCACAATCACAGGAGGAGGGACAGAGCTAAGGCACATACATATGGATGCACAGGTCTGCGACAAACAGGCACACAAGCACATACAAGCACTAGTCCCTCTTCACCACAATTCACTCTCTATGTATGAGTCAAAATACTTTCAATGTTACTGCCCTCCAACCTTGTCCTCAGTGCATAATTACACCATATGAAGAGCTATATATAGCTGCATGGGGAAGGTCAAGGGAACAGCTGCAAGTCAAGAGTACCATTCCAGCTAAATGCCACGCATCTATGCACAAACTACCAGAATTTATATTTAGGGATCTTAAGGACCTCTACTGCTGCTGTATAGTATACTGTACACTCCAGTTATCCACTAAGTAGGTTTGATTCTTTATAAAGTGATAAACCTAGATGGAGAGACGCAACTTCAAGGTAGTTTTAAATTATTGTTTTAGCGACATGAATTTTTTATTGATTGACTAGTAGCTGATTGATTTTCTGTATTTTGCATCGTTACCGTTCTGCCTGCAGTTAAAGTCCAAGCAGCCCTGCACAAATTAAATAAGGCTGGGAAATGAGGCATCCACTAGAATTCATCTCCCTTTTGTGTTGATAATTCTCTTTATGTTATTTTATATTTTTATGAGATGTGTGTGTACTGATCAGGACTGATGTGTGTGCAAAAACATGACTCCCTTAAGACCCCTCATAAAACCCCAGGCCTGCCCAAATAGCAGGAAAGCACTATTGGAAATGATCTCTATTCTCTTTGTATCTTTATCTCTTTTTTTTGTCAGCTCTGAGCAAACAGAATTAGGGGCTGGATTGCTCAGTATTTCAGATGAAATGATTGTGTGCTGAAAATTGTGTTCACTGCAGTTCTATGAATTAATTTAAATTTTTGATACCTGTTGTTACAAAGCAAAGCCCAACAAAGGCCACTGATTAATATGATTTAAGTCATTTCATATTGTGTACAGAGGGATAGCTTAGCTGAGTAAACAATTACAATTGATATACTATACAAGCAAGCGGTCTAACCAGTAGCTAACAATTATGACCTAAGATCTATTAAAATAGCAATGAAGTGCAATTAGATGTAAGTCAGGGAAATGCAGAACTACAAAAAGAATGGCCAAACTGCAGGCTGATGCAGCTGGGAGATTGATGCTCCCTGTCCTTTTACAAAGGGCATTTTCCTGCACAGTAAGCGGGTGTGAGTGTGTGGACACGCTGGTCTCCTTGCATCCTCGGGGACATTTGTGCTGTCGGCAAGCATTTGTGTGTGTACGTGTGTGAGAACAGTATACAGATATGTGAGGCAGTTGCGTGTGCTGGGCTGTATGAGTACAGGTATTAATAAATGAAGCAGAGTGATGGCTGAGACTTGCCTCAGGGCTGACAGAACTGGAGAGAGAGACAGAAAGGAGAGGAAGAAGGGCAGAGTGGTTGGTGGCTGAGAAAAAGATGTGAGAGTGAGAGGAGGAAGAGCAGAGTAGGAAAAAAGACAGCAATGGAGACAGAGCGAGCACTAGAGGTAGAAAAATGAAGACATGCAAGAATAAGAAGGATAGAGAGGAAATTAGGAGAAGGAAAGAAAGATGCAGTATGAGAAGAAAAAACGAGTGCAAGTGAAAGAGGAGGAGGTGAATAATTCAGTGCCATGCACTGCAATTGCTGCACACATATCGATGAGATCAGAGTTTTAATGGGTGGCTACAGAGCACAATTTTATGGTGTAATCAATCAAGGAATGTAGAGTCAGACAACACATCACATACTGTCTCTGTCTGTGTGTGTTTTGATTTCATTTGCCTTTAAGGTACTATATTACCTAAGCTTATACAACACAGTTAACAGCATAAATTCAATTAAAATTAGGCTAGCGTGTGTGTGCATGTGAGTGTGTGCAGGTAGAGAGAGATACAATGTAAACCTTCAGTTTTCATAATAACATATGTACATCATATTTAAGTTTGAATGCCACTAGTAAAAAGGAAAAAGGGACTGTGCTGTGTTCATGTAACAACATGTGTCTCTTCACCTCATCACAGCGCTACCAGGCAGCCAGACAGCAGGGGAGCTGGTTAATGTCCGACATGCATCACGGGCTTGACACACACGCATCTGTGTACAATCAGATGCACCCAACATAACAACGGTTATTGTGGTTGTCTGGCTGCTCTCATGTCTAACCCGGTGGGGAAAAAGATAAAGATTGGATTAAAAGAGATAGAAAACAATAAACTGTAAGACAACTGTGTGCAAGACACACAAAGCCTCCACTGTGGCAGGCATCTAAAACCCATGACGTTATAACTGTATTGAGATATCAACTACAGCAACAAATCTGGGGGATTAATCTGCACCTTAAATTCTCTGCCTGCCACCTCAGGAGCACTATTATGACTTATCTTCATCTTTTTAGTGGCCTAAACCTAAATAATCTGAACACATAATGTATGAATGTAGACACTCCTCTGGTATATGTGGACTCATGTAGAGAATGTTTACCTTCTTGTAGCAGTATGTATACACATGCTGCTGAAGTCCTTACACTGTACTTGCAACTTAAGTTTATTTCGTACAGACAAATCCTGCCAAACTACCAAACATGCATAATACACCCAGGCTTATGCAGGTGTGTGCATATGCTCCTGCATGTACGCATAGCACACACATATCGGTATTAACATGAGCATAAGGGGGGTGTAAGTCAGTTTGATGTATTATTCAGTAGCCCCCAGTGGGTGGCTTTAGCCAGTGTTACTATCATAATGTTTGTGCTCAAACACTGCTCCAGCTACATGTATATGTATATGGATTCACAATGAAAAGGAGTCACAGTAAGGACACTAACTGTGCACAGTCACAGCTCTTTCAATGGGGGACAAAAAGCACAGTAAAATAGTCTATTGCAAGTTGAGTAAATGTATTGTAAATCCTGAAAAATGGAAGAGAATGGCTGTGAATACTTTGTCACTGGGATAGTCACACACCAGTGATGCTAAGTGGAAAAGCATAAGTTGTAAACCTCAGTAAGAACATCAGTGCAAGCTACCACAGGCTTTTACCTTCATATCTGTGGTCCTAATTAAAAAAAAAGAGGAAGAGGATCTGCTGGTAGGCTGTTGCTGTGATGTATCACTGTCTCCTCTATTGATCTCCCTCTCTCTCTCCCTGTCTCAGTGGTTTTACCTGGGAATATTAGAAACCTGGGGGATAGTGTGTAATGTGCTCTCTAGGAAGGCCCAGTGTACATACAGAACAACATGCACCAAAAGCAGACAATGAAAATATTTCAGCAGACCAAATATTTAACATGGATCCTTATGAATGAAAGGGTGGCACGCCTGAACTCTTATCTTTACGGCACAAAACAATACTTTAATAGCACCATTAAAGGTAGAAAGCAAGACAAGAGATACTCACTGCCCTGTAGTACATTCATATTTTTATGGCTCACAGTGCATGTAGTGAATCAATGAGACACTGTAAAGACATACTCTAAGCTGCTGAATTTAAACAGAATAGGGTTTCTTGTAACCTCTTCATAAAGTGTTTTTTTTTATTCTTATTTTTATATCCAACACTGGGGATGCAACACTAAAGGTTTCACAGAGGTTTCTAGCCGACAATATGAAGATGATGATGCTCTGACAGTAGTAGGTTTCCTCCTACATTACTTCCATGACAGATTTCTACAAATGAGCTCAACACCTGGATAGTTTTAGTTTAAAATATGCAGAACTAACCAAGTCCCCCCCCCCCCAAAATAGTCAGAATAATATAAAGTGAAAGAAACAATAAATGTGATGTCTTCCCTTTAATGGAGTCAGTATTTACTGACTAAAACATTAACAAAATGAAGAAAAAAGTTTTTCTTATTCAACGCACTGAAAACAAACACTGCTTCTCAACTCTAACACGCCAAATCCAAACCTTTTAATTAGTGACATTTTCACAACTAGTCTTCAAGCTAGTCACCAAGTATTTCAGTCAGTCCACCTTTCATTCAGCCAGTAACTTATTTGACCCTCTCATCTGCCAGTTAACCCCCAAGTTTCCATCTATCAATCTACACTCAACAATAACAACAATAACAAATGTTTCTTGTCATTTGCACCCTGATGTACATATGTATCTAGAGTAAATTGTTTTCATATTCTTTTGTATTGTTTTGCAAGTTTCATATAGATTTGTCCAACATTTTACAGCTCAGTGGCTTTGTGTAGTACACAGTGGTGATGTTTCATGCTTCTACAACGTCTGAAATTTCCTTTGGGATCAATAAAATACCAGTCTTATCCTTTCTTGTAATCTCTTCTCCATTTGTGATTAAACATGAATAAATTTAGGATTTTTTCCATACTAGGGGAGGAGACTTTGTGCAAGCCTCCAGTGAACATATCCATCACATTTACCATGACATTTTAATTGTGCAAATAAATAATAAACATGAAACAAACAAAAAAAAAAAAAATCTGGCGTCAGTAAGTTTACTGCACAGCGCTAACGGGAGATGCATCCCCAGTAATTGGCTTGTTGGTAAAATACAGAGGATACAGGGGTGACAAGTATAGGAATATCTGACTTGTGGCTCTTCTCTCAGGTCAGGTTAAGGTTTTCTGAGATGCTTAAAAACTACTAGAACACAGGCAGTGCAACTTCTTCCTGTTTCATGGCCAAGTACCAGAAGACCGCTCCATTACACAGTAAAATATGCACATTATTTATGCATGAGTATATGGCCATTAAAAGCACCTAGATTAACAAATATGCTGCATACTATACTTGGCAAACACAGAACTGACTGAATTAGTGAGAGAGACAGACTCTAATACATCCATTTAGCCGTCTATAGTAATGATTAATTTACAACGCCCCCACCTTCTCTGATCCCCACCTCCCCACCACACGCACTGAGCCCCCTCCCTGCTCTTCCTCTGTCTCATGCCTCTTCTCTCACCCACTCTCTGTATCCCTGTAACTCTCTCTCTCTTGCTCCCCTCAGCGTCTGATGCAATCCGTTACCAACCCAGAGTGCTTTCCTCTCATTCAGAGACAAAGAGAGCGGGAGTGTTGGGTTGGGGGTGGGGGGCAGAGGAGGAATCTTTTCCTGGATGTGCCAATCCTCGCCATGCCCCAGGGCCACATATGAGATAAACAGCAGATAAGTCTGACAAAGACAGCAGCACTAAGGAGCAGGAGCTGGCACGGGTAAAGGGGCATGGCATGGATAACGGCAGTAAAGCGCCCCCTGTTGGGGATAAAAGGCACGGTGTGGGAGTGAAGAAAAGACAAAGGAGCTGGTTAGAGCTGAGGCAGGAGGTCAGTGTCTGCCTAACTGTGCCTCGTTCCCTCAAGGCATGAAAACACTAATGGTCAGGCACCAGCAGGGGTTCTCACACAGTCGACTGTGGGGCAACACCGCTCTTTTCATTTAGGACAATATGTGCTGGAAGCAAGCAGTTGAGATATATGAAAATAAAATTGTCATGGTTCATTTACACAATGTGATACGTGCCTCAGAGTGCGAGCATGAAAAATTACAACTAGTGCAAATTTCTTCGTAAGATTCTTTTTTTTTTATTTTTTATGTTTGTGTCTGGGTGTTCAAGAATGTTTTTTTCTTTCTCCCTCTCTGTCTCTCCTTGCAAGATGTTCAGTAATTCACAGACAGTACAAGTCAGGACTGGCTCAGCAGGGGGCATACCAGCTGACAACATATTCATATAGAGCTGTCAAAATGAAGAGGAATTACATGATGAAATAAAAGAAGACACATTTAAATCTCGGCACACACCCAAATACGGAGTGTAATTTTAAAAGGAGAACCTCTATACTCAACCCTGGTTTGTATGCAATATGTACAGTATGCATGCGCAGTCATACTCTCAGGGACTCGAGTCTTCACACCTTCCTGCTTCAACTAAACAAAATGTTATTCCACCAATTTCAATACTTTCATTTGAATCACTCGTCTGTCTCTCATTTTGAATCAGCTCAGCCAGTGATTCTCTGCTTTTCTCTTATTTCATAACTTGTAATGTTGTGTTGGTTATATTTGGTCTGCAAACAGTTTTTTTTTTGTTATTCTCTTTGAAGTAAAGTTATTGCCTTTTCAAACAGCTAATTATAGGGAAGGGGAAAACATCCATGGTAATTACAACTGGGGTCACCTTGAGTCACCGGTGAGATACAATGTGACAGGTTTGGTGCACACATAGAATATAAAGTGCAAAATGTTTATCAGACACAAACACCATAATCATGCATGTGCTTGCTCACATTTACAGCAGGTAATGTACAAGTTTATACTGCAGGTGCAGATTGTTGACACCTTAAAGGAAAAGATAACATTATGAGGAATATTTACTAAACCTGTCACAAATTACCATCAGCCACGGAAAATACTGCGGCACCACAATTTTTAAATTTAGCGGCATATTTACCAACACTTTTGATGAAATTGAGCACAGCCGCAGCTGTGTTAACTTGAATACACCCCCACTTTGGATCTGCTGCCTGAAGGCTGTTGCACACATGTGGGAAAACAGGAAGTGTAGAAGAATGACTAAACTTCAATATGGTTGAAGGAATCAACAAACATATTTCAGACCTTCAATCATGTTGTGTTCTGCCAGTCATTTCATCTTTTTTCCCCCCCATTCAGTAATTGAAGCATGGCTTGACTTGAAAGCCTGTAAAAGTCCCTCACATTCTCCTCGGGCAAGCGATGTGATTTACAAACACCCTCTTCCTCCTCAAATATATTGTTAACTTCGAAGAGGTCTGAGATGACTAGCAGCTGCCACGTTGACAGCAGTTCGGCAAATTTTATGCCTGCTTTCTCTGTCTGGATGTTAAATTTCAGCTGTAGCCGTGGTAAATCAGGTGTTGAGAGTATTTGTATAAATTTTCATTCTCTCCTCCCTGGTTTTTCACCTTAAATTACATATTGCAAGAGACCAAACGTGCAGGATTTCTTCTGTTTCTCTGCTGCAAAACCCCACTGTGACTCTTTAGCAAATATGAACACATACCGTACAATTTCACTGTTTAGCGCCAGAAAATCAGCTGCAAACCCTTAGTAAATATCCCCCAAAGTGTCGTACGGTTTTGAGCCATCACAAGCCAAAAGAACAGCTTCAATGCTCCTTGTAATAGATTTACGTTTCTTAAACTCTTTCTAGTTGTTCATTTGAGTTGACATCTGGTGACTGCTACGGCCATGACTATGATTCTCATCCTTTCCACTCTTAGTAAACCCTTCAGTGGCCCTCTGCATCATGTAATCAATCCTGTAAGTTATTATGCTTCTCCACTCATGTTTTCAGGTTTTTCCTTTAATTTGTCATGTCTATGTATGTACATTATATGGTATTCTTCTTTATAAGAATGCCTTCAGCTACAAAAATCTTCACGATTCCTCACAGCACTTGTCATGCAGTACACAGCAATACAGACACTCTCTTGAGCTGTCACGCAGCGAGCCTAACTGAGGGAAATCCACCTGCTCTGAACAGCTAAACCTGAGTTTGCTACAGCACATCACAGCAGACTGCGCTTATGTCAGCAACTTTTCATAGTGCAGGTTTCCTGTTCGTCGCTTAATTTGCACCACATTTGAATGACAGTGCAATTTACAGTTTCTCCAGTTCAAAAGCTACAAGGTAAATATAAATAAATGGATGATGGATGATTTTTTGTGTTTTCTGCCTTTAAGCAATATTCAAATGGATTCCTAAAATGAGCCATTTGACAGCTAAGTGTTTTCCTTGAAGCTGTTTACTTGAATACTCAGCACTGCTATGTTAGAGATGTAAGGAATGCTGCATCCTCACCAGCCAGAGAAGCTGAAGTGGGCAGAAAGTGCTGCGAGAGGGAACTCTAACGGCTGAAGCAACAAGTCGAGCTACTGTCATCATGCCCACCCTCTTTTATACTGTTTCAGACTTTAAGCCTGTCTCCCACGTTGCCTACACAATTACACAGTGTGACACAGACACACACAACCACCCGCGCCTCACCCAGAGAGAGAGCGAGCGAGAGAGAGAGAGAGAGAGCCGTAAGAGCTCAACTCAGCTCACCTCTCAGCACCATTCACTGTCCTGGTTTTAATAGTCTCGCACCATGAGCCAGCCACTGGAACATCAAGGAGAGGAGACTCAAATAATACTGAATTACATGAAAGCCACTCGCTAGCTGTGTCACACTGACACACACACACGGACCACTGTAGTGCATGTTTTTACATGAGATCTCAAGGGCACAAAGACACAAAACATGCCAGAGAAGAGAAGCCCAACTATGATATGTGATGATGGTGTATGTGTGTGTGTGTATTAAAAGTTCACCCACCTGTTGCCCAAAGGCTTTTCTTCCAGTTCATGTGGCTTGAAGAACCACTTCCCAATCCGAACAAACCCCTTATCCATCAAACACCTGTAGCAGTAAAGAGAAGTATAAAGAAAAGCCAAGAGGGGAGTTAGATGGAGAAAAACAAAATGGTTTAACAACTCATTCTCTCTCCTTATGTTTAGGAGGAAGATCAATAAAAAAGCAATACCTGAACAATGTCATGCACTTAAGTGAGAGAACCATGCAACAAATTATTCAACATCAATGTATTCTTGTTAGAGGTTTTGATTCATCTCAAAGGCGCTTTTGAAACTGTAGCTTGTGCAGCGCTCGATGACAGCTTCCATAAAATCTATTTAATCTATTCTAGAATTTAAAGATTATTTGAGTAGAAACAGTGTGATGTATTTATTTTTTTTTTTATATTTACTTGACCATGGAAAAGTTAAATCACTATTTATCTAGAGCACAAATAAGCCACATGATGTGCATAAGATCGATATTGAGCAAGTTTGCCCCATAGTTGCAACCAAGCAAACTCAGATGTGGTTTATGGCGAGTCCACAGGAACAGGAAATGTAATTGTCCACTAATCTGCCAACCCCAAAGTGGTTTACACTTTGCACATAGCTTTCCAAAAACCTTTCCTTTCATCACATCAAATTATGATCACATCAAGCAGTTCAGCCATGATGTTCCCTATTTGGCTATGCCACTATCCCATCTGTGCACTTCTTCACTTCATCTCAGCCTCCTTTCACAGGCAAAACTCAGGGCTCTCTGATGTTTGACTTGTCTCTATGTGCAGGTGCCAGTGAATTCCCAGCTGGATCCACTGACCTGGGTCAAGGAATTACAAAATTATTTTATGGACTCCTCTTCACTTAGCCAGGCTCAGCTAGTCAAAACTTTCAGCCTCTTGCTCTCCATGTTTGGTGCATTCATGTCAATGCTTTTCTTTTCCAGTCATGGCTGCTAGTTGCAATAAAAACTCTCTCTCTCTCTCTGAAACAATTAAAACATTAACAAAGAAACTGTATTTAAAGTGGATTGCTCACATCATGACTGATACCATGATATGTCACATTCCCCCACTGGGAAATATAGTTTTAATGACAGCAACAGCGAGGTCAACAGGATGCAACTAATGTCTATTCTTTTCCCCACAACAAGTTACAGTATAGTCTTAATAGCTTCTTTTGCTTCTTCAAACTTACAACTTGTTGGGAAGTTTGAGACTCAAGAGACTTGCTTTAAGAGAGGTACTGTATGTTTGACAGCATGCTATCTTGACTGACTGGTGTCTCAAGGTAATTGAGGTGTTTGTGTCTTGCTCATTCCACCTCAGTGTCTCATCCTGGCACTACCTTGTTAGCAAAATCTTTTCTGGCCACAATAACTGTCAAAAACTGACAAAACTCCAGTCTTCAACATATACTGGCAGAGTAATGGCCCTGCTTTTCTTCCTTACATCCGACATCCTTACCTAAACAAACACCAGTCAGTCTGACTGATTACCCTGGGACAATAACCAGCCATAAAACCCCTCACCTCCTCACTGTTATTTCAGGCTTATGCTGAAAAATACAAAATAATGAACCACACAACACAGTGTTCCTGACAATTTCCAGCCTTACTAGGTCTGTGCCATCAGGAATTCTTGTCTTTGGAGCTTTGACTGGCAAATTATGCAGCTTCCTATAAAATCCACACAGTTTTTGCATTAAGTATTACTCATTATATTTTAGTCGTTGCAACCATTCTTTATCTTAGGTAGGGTGTTATTTTCTGTTTGCTGTGCTGCAGAGATACTCATAACTGTGTTGTTTCTAATTAAACGTATGCTTGTTCTAAATAAAATAACAATAATAAAAATAGCCCGAGAGAATGTAAAAGTGATCACTTCTGCGTTGAAATAGTGAGCAATAAAAAGGAGTTAGCTTCAAGGTAATAGGAAGGTTAATTCAGCCTGCCCCTATGATGATCACTGATGCTTAACTTAATAGAGAGCAAATATGTACTGCTTCATTTAACAGATGGCTCTGATTCAGAAAGGAGAGCTTTGGGTACTTGAGCAAGTGATTCAGTGCTCAGATTATAATTTCATTAAGGTGAAAGCTGCTGGAAGAAACCTAAAGCTGTCTATCAATAGGACGTCAAGTTCTTTTATTGGTGACGTTTGTTTAGAATTCAAAGTATAATTATTGATCATTTAGAAGAGAAAGATTGCATTTAAAATGGTACTTCTGTTAAATGTTTGAGATTTCTTTTTAAAATACTATATACAGTATATAAAGTTAAAACATCAAATACATAATTAAAAAAATCTTTTAAATGATCTTTGAGTACAGAGAAAAATGCAATAAAGTGCACATTTAATCTAGTATTCTGAGTAATGCATGAGGTCATTTTAACTGCAGTTTTCCTGAAAATATCAAACTCAGTCATCCATGAGGGAATCTTACTTTCTACACACTTTGTACAAATTAATCAAATTGATTCTGAAATGAATTAGATTTTATAGACTGATGGCATGTTTACTATAAAGTAAATACCAGTTAAAGCTGCCAGATAAATGTAGCAGAGTAGAAGTATCACAAAATAATAAATACTGCACAGGTACTTCCAAGTTCTACTTCAGGATAGTATTAAGTAAATGTATTTTGTTTTCCAAAAAAAAGGCAGAGGTAAAAAGTAACAAACTGCAAAAACAAAAACAAAACAAATTCACTACACTGCAGGTTACACACTTCATAAAATATATACTGGATTCTATGTAACCGTGCCTGTTATATAACATGTTTTCCTATTCTATGCAAGTCACTCACAGCCTGTCCTCACTGAGCAGCTAATGAAGTGATTCTGGAAAAAGCCAGTGGTTTTACCTTTCCAGCAGGTTGTGTATGGCCTTGAACAGGAGAGTCCTGCACTCATAGGACAGTCCACACTCCCAGAGCCCCTCCTCAGCCACTGAAAGACAGGGAGGAAAAACTATTACCAAATTATAAATCTTAATGGTTTATTATCTCAATCATGAAAACAAAATTAATTATAATTTCTGTGATAGCAAAACATCTGCACACACCAGCTTGAGGATTCTAAACAACACATGGTTAAGTGTCACGTGTTTATAGCTTACCCTGTCAAAATATGCTGCATGCGCTTATGAGAAAACCTGCACATCACATCAGAAACTGTAACTTAAGATGAAGCAGTGCATGCTTGTGTGTGTGTGCGTGTAGAAAGAGTGCCGGACTGCACAGCTGTCAGACTGGCTGCAACGACAGCACAGTCAAATCCCATGCAGTTGTCAACCCCGGTTAGCTGGGGAGTGAGAGTGTGCCCGTATCTGCACACATGCTTACATGCTCAGGTTTGTACATGCATACAGAGTTTTAGTTCAACATCATGTTTTCTTTGAAATTTACGGGGTAAAATCAGCTGCACTCTGCCTGAGCCTGTGACATGTCAGCAGCCAGCTCACACATGTCAAATAATCCTGCACCTTCCTAATTTCTTTAACCCCAGCACAGAATCCCCCCACCCACTGCCCCACCCTGCCAAAAAGAAAATATGAGACACACACGCAACCAGCGGCCAGTTAACAGCGTTTCTCTTTGTTCTTTGCTTCATACCTGCAGGGCTGCTGGAAGAATTGGAAGATTGTGGGTGGGTGTTGTGTTTGCTTATAGGGTGGTGCCAAACAAACCAAGCATCACAGAAATACACAAGAAAAAAGGAAGGAGAGAGAAAAAGGCAGATCGCCTGGGGGATGGGTGGCATAAAGCTCCTCTTCTTTGTCTTCACTGATTTATTTATTTATTTTTTGGTTAGTGTATTCCTCTCTCCTCCTCTGTTGCTTTGTTGATATTTCCCTCCTGTTTTTTTTCTTCTTCTTCTTCTTCTTCTTCTTCATACCAGAGTGAATGAAATTTCCTTACTCGCCAGAATTACCCTGTAACCATGGAAACCCTGGCGGTAAGAACATGGCACCCTGGCATTCAATTTCAACACTGGTCCCTCCTGCCCCTCACCCTCCTCCTTCTCCTCCTTCCTCTGTTCTATCGTTTCCAACACCCCTCCACCACCTCCTCCCTATCCCCCCCACCCTTCATTTACTCCTGCTTCAGGGCTCAGACAGGAAGCTCACTCTAGCCAGCTCTTCTACAGAGGAGAGAGATAGAGCGAGTACCATGAGCAGAATGCCAAGTCTCCAGCTTCAGCTCATTAGCTCTTACTGTCTGTATATCTCTGTCTCCCTCTCTTAAAAATCCCCAAAAGTTTTTTCCTCCCCGACTCTGCCAATCCTCCACAGCCCATCGTCATGTACTCTCCTCATGACCAGCTCCACAGCAGGCTTGTAACCCCTCTAACTCCAAAACTGTCACCGACTCCTAAACCTCACATTCTCCCAACACTCCCACCCAAAAGCGGACAAGACTGAACCACACACTCCTGAGAAGATGTGACGGACACTTATCTGCGTTTGCTCTCTGAATTCCTGCATATGATTCTGCTGCTCCCAACATAGCATATACACATCCCAACAGTGTTAATAGCACATATTTGGATAGAAACACGCAATCCACACATTATACATGCTTATATTATAGTTGTCAAATAGCCAGCTCACTGCACCACATCAACACAAGGTGTGACAAATCACTCTTTAAAGCAAACAAGGTCAGGCATCCACACAAGCATGTACACACAGACAGAAATATAGAAAATGCAGCGTGAAATAACACAATCTCATATTTTAAAGCAGTCATATCCTATAGGGATGTATGATGTATATACTTGAATAAAACACCGCAAACCAGTCATTTCACCATCAATCAGTAATCACCATGTTTTGAGTTTTTACTGCCTGTTAATCAGATGAGGAACACAGATGGCCCAAGGGAGTACTGTAGTGCTGTAGATACTAAAATGCACAGCTAAGTGCAGTAGGGCTTTAAAGTATCATGGCCCGTCATTCATCACAACCTGAGCTTCAGGAAAGTGCATCATACCAGAAAGATTTTAAAAGAACTGGATGTAATCAACCTCTGTCTCAATTAGATTAAACGGGGGCTTCATAATTTTAGGCTTTACTGATAAATTGTGTGTGTGTGTGTGCGTGTGTATACCAATTTCTACTGTGAATATTTTTAGCTATATTTTTGTATTATTCATATTCTCATATATTACTGTCTATTTTAACCAAGGCAAGCAATTATGGATATAGTGTGTATGGATGTTTTCCCTAGAACTATTGAAATGTGAGCATCAATAATCAGAATTGTCAGAATCATTACAATCATGTGTTCATGCAGTGTGTGAGAGAACCGGTTCTCAAAGTGCCTTAGTGCACATACAAGGAACTGGCCTGACTTTGCATGTGTATATGGTATGTGCTATAAGTGCATACAGTGAGCTAACATTGTTACAAACACATATTTCACACAACCTTCCTTTCCCCAATCCCCTCACCACAGTGCTCTTAACTGCTGCGCCACCGAACACAAACAAGCAGTGATGGAACTGGGTCGCTGCTACCACTGTATATTTCTACCTCTCTTTCTTCTCCATTTCTAAACCTGTCTTTCCATCTCTCATTGTTCCTTCCTCCTCTTTTCCCAGTGTGTTTCTCCCTCTCCATCTCATCTTTACATCCATTGTTCAACCCTTCTCTCCTGGGTTCCCTGATGGTGGTAGTGGCACGCCACTAGGTGGGGAATGACCACTCATCGCTACATGACTGTGCGAAGAAACACAAAGCTGGAGAGATGGTGCGAGCTTAGGTGTGACAACACTGTGTCACACAAGATGACCCCTCTCCACATATTTCCTTCCTCGTTTCTCTGCTTCTCTCTCTCTCTCCCTCCCTCTCATTTGTTCTGAATCAATAACAGTCTTGGTGTCCAGTGGTGTCTCTGCAGTGTGCAGGCTATGAGCTCTCACTGGGCAATGTGTAAATGTGTGTGTATGATTTCACACAAAACCCCAGTGCTGCTTTACTAATTAGCTGCCTGCTGCATGTGTGAGCAGAGGTCGGTCTGTGTTTGCTGTGTGTGCACATGCATTTACTGTATGTGTGCATGTGAGTGCAAAGGTATGCTCTGCATGTACTGTGTACAATGCAACATGCCACAGTATGTTCATGTGCTTTTATGAATAAGAGAAACTGCAAGGCTGCATTGAAAAACAAATGAAAAGAAAGTAAGAGACACGAGGACAAAGAGGATAATGATGCTAATGATGATACGTCTCCTAAGTGGATGTATTCACACAGTTTTTTTATAAACAGATTACAAGAGACAAATGGAATATAAGTATGTATTTATGTTTGTGCGACTGTGGATGTGAGCAAATTGGCACAATTAATACTGACATAATTATCAGAACATTACCTTGACATAAAAAATCTGCCAGTTGTTACTGCAATTTCTATTCATATTTGTTTCTGTGAATTAAATGTTTGTCAATATATACTGTATTGTATACTACTACTGTATATATTTAAGGTTTGACAGAAGTTAGCGTGTTCATTTATACATAAAAACTGTAAACATTGCCCCTCAACACATAACATACAGTACATTACATTACACTATACTGGCTGCATAAGTCCCGTGAGAGAAACCGTGGACATACAGTACATGACACGCTTCTGTAAACGTGTCATGTAAAGCACACACTACATTTGTGTAAGTGGTTTATGAACACCCGGAGGCGCTAGTTGAAGTCTAAACATGACAAAATTAAAAACTGACTGCTTCAAAAACAGAGAAGAGGCCAGGCAGTGAGCGTTAGATCAGCACACAGAAAATAACTGGTGAGCCATTGTTAGTGATCAACAATTACTTGAATGCTACAGATCAGTAAAAATGCTACTCAAACCTTAAAAAAGCCTTAAATTTCCTAAACAGAGGTTCAGTCCCTCCACTGTTATTACTTGACATTTTGAACTTTTTGTCGCTCTAGACTCAGTTACATTCTCCAAGTATAAAGGGGAAAGTTCACACCACAGTGTGATTTGATTGACTGTAAACGGCAAACTTCCCCCAAGGCCAGTTCCCTTGTAACACTCCCATGGACTTCAGAATAACAATGTCTATAGAAAAACAAGAAGCGCCTTATAACCTCTACCTATAAAGCAATAGACATAGCTGTTAATATGGTAATAATATGCTATATTACCCTGGCACTGAGCCAGAGTTAATCCAGCTATGCCAGTTGAGCTACAAAGCCCCGAGTACAAGTCAGAAAACAGGTACTGTATACCTTAAGTTCATTAATGTAAAATCAGGTAACAAAATACTTCGAAGTATGGCTTGTTTTACAGTGTAGGGCGCTTTCCTAGAAATCAGTAGGGTTTTTCCTCTGGAACTTACAGGACCATTAAGGAGGCACCGATATTGCCCCCAGTATCAGTTATTAGTCTGACACCACCCTCTAGTACTTGTACTCGTAAAAGTTGATGATATTACGCACTGATACCACTTAATGCTACCATTATGTGAAAATAACTCTGCTTGAGCAGGTAATGGCAATAATAGAGGCAGTAATTAATCAAATGCCTGTTGAACAAGCAGATCACAACAACAACCTTGCAGAAATGTGACGTCTCCACTCTCACTGTAGTAAAAATGGCTGGTCCTGTTCATCCCCTAAACCCATACAGGGCCCTTCATGCTGACTGCAGTGAATTCTTGTGAACAAGTGAAAAAATAATAGTATGTTATGTTATGTAGTACGATACAGACCTTCAGTTAGTTGCACGTTATATTTGATTGGAATGGTAGCTGTGCTGTGTTTATCACAAATATATGGAAATGTAATTTGCACAGCCTCCTGTTATATAGTTTATTTAATCACAATCAGAAAATAAATCCCTTGAAAATAAAAACTCTCAAGTCAGTGCACTTTTATGGTAATTGTAATTTTTATAATAGAAACACTGCATTATTATAAAGTACTTGTAT